ACTGTTAATGAAAATAGTACTTATATATATTCCCAGGAAGGTATTTAAGTGACAATTTTCAACAAAAGAATGTCGTTGACGAATGAATGTATTTATTTGTTAGAAACATTAAATATACAATTAGAAACTGTTACATTCGTATAGTGTATTCTTTATTCCTGACACCACAAAAATATTCCACATAACTCGTGACTTTCTTTTTACGAATCCATACGAAATACTTTTTACAAAAATAAATCTGCTGATCTTGTATTTCTTTCCTCGTGCTTACTTGCTTTCGATATATACTATTATCAACGGACACGTACATAATACCTCAATACAAGAGCTAATAATGGCAAGAAGTACTGCACGCACTTTGTGAATATTTCGTTGGATAATAAAGCTTATTATTATTACTCTGTATTACAGTAGTAGAGGTCGTGATCATACGTATGTAATGACGTATGACGTATTACAAAAAACAGTGCGTTGTGAGTGTGAATTATTGTGAGTTTATTATATATTACGATGTGCATATATAATATGCCACACATATATTTTTTAGTCGTAAGATTTGTGTATGGAGCAACGTCGTGGTATGTACTTGCCTCAATGCCGTTACGTGTTACCTTCGATTACATTACAGTGATAATATCTCAGCGTCTCAATCCATCATAAAACACGGTACCTGGGTACCAAGCTATATAGATCGTGTTGAAATCCTTGCTTCTCTGTTAACCCTTCTCCGGATAAGCTCATTTTCCAACGCAAACGTATGAGATGAGTCCATTGGACTCACGCCTGAAATTTCGTGCATAACTGACACCTAACTGCAATAAAAGCTTTAAAATTTGTTGTTTAACTGAAATAAACTTTATTTTATTCTTTGATACATTTTAAAATGTAGAAAGTTACAATAATATATTTATTTATTACAATTTACGCACACACGAAACGAATGTTCATTGCAAACATGTTCTTTACACGTGTTGCAAGTCTGACGTTGCATTCGTGCTTTTTTGGCTGAACAGAGAGCACAACGTTTCTTTTTTTTCGGCGGTTGTTCAAACGTATTATCATTTGCTTGTTGAGACGTTCCCATAAATTGGTTGATGGCTGCAACTGTTGATTTCTGAAGACCCAATTTTCTTCTTTCAATATGGGGTTTTATCAACCCTTCTGCAACTTCTTGTAAAAAGATTCTTCTTTTATAATGTTTCTGGTTATTCCACTGCGGAAATTTGTTGAGCCACACAACATATGCTGCAATTCCACAACAATCCGTGGCATTCATAAAATAAGTAAACGGCCAACGATTACAACGCTTCTTACTCATGTACTCATGAACCAATTGATCTAGACTGTCAACTCCGCCTTTTGTGTGGTTGTAATAATTTATTATTTCAGGCTTCTTTTTGTTGGCTTCGTCTATTTCATTTGAATGGTGCATAATTGACAACAATATGACACTTTTTCTAGGCTTTGGTACATATGATACTAAGGTACATTTGCTTGTAAAACCAAACATAGAAGAAGTTTCCGGTCGGTTTTTATCAGGTGAGAAAGAAGAGGGAATAAACCTTTTATTTTTTTGACAGTACCTACTATGGTTAGAGGTAGGTAGAATCACTTTATTGACAGAACCTTTTATAATATTTTGAGCTCGAGTACGACCGGTGGGTTGGGGGACAGAATGCCATTCAGTACCATCTTTAGCCCTAAATATGTCGTGGTTACTTACAGAATCTGTTTCATTACCATCTTCATCACTACTTGATGCATTCTGAACATCACGTTCCTCCGAAGCTAAATATTCGTTATCATATTCTTCAGAGCTATCATTGTCTTCCTCATGCCCTTCAGAATCTTCGATCTCAGATATATTGTTACTGCTGCTTCTTGCAGTTCAGCTGCAGTAAGAGGTCTATGTAGATTATATGCCATAACCTATCAATAAATGCATAAAATAACATCATTTGATAAACAATAATTAGTATTCATAATTACCGCATAAACAATTCCCCACAGCACGGAAACACAATCTAATCACATCACACTTTTTTATTTTTCCAAAATTTTTCACCCACGTAAAAACGTGAAAATTTCAACATTTTATAAACAACCAAGTATCTTCCTGAAATTTGCATCTAGCACTAATTAAAGCCTCCTGACAATGATTCCGGCTTCAGATTTGCTCTCTGAGTTCGGAATAATTTTTTATGACTTGGTTTGGCCTAGTTTTTGAAAAACTGACATCCTCCGATAAATGGCTTTCTTGTTAATTAACAGCTCGAGTCTCGGAGGTAAAAATTTCTGACTATGAGCAAAAAACAATGGGAAATCGAATGGCGTTTATTAGAGAACCGAGTCTGGTTCCGTTTAAAAGTTACGACCTCTTATACAAATCACTTTTTTGAAATAGAACATTCCTGGCTGCGTTTTTTTACTGCTTTTTTCTAAGGATGAAGAATTCCGACAAACTGATTACAGAAATGAATTCAGCTGTGTTGAATTGACTATTGACCAAAATTTCAAGTCGAACTGAACATTTTTTTATTTTTCCAAAATTTTTCACCCACATGGTCATACGCTAATGTTTTGCGAATTTGAACATTTTTTAAACAGCCAAGTATTTTTCTGAAATTTACATCACGCACTAATTGAAGCCTCCTGACAATGATTTCGGCTTCAAATTTGTTCTCTGAGTTCGGGATAATTTTTTGTTAGTTGATTAGTTCTAGTTTTGGAAAAATTGACATCGTCCGATAAATGGATTTCCTGCTGCATAACCGCTCTAGCCTGGGGGCTAAAAATTAAGCAATGTGAGCAAGAGTCTGAGAAATCGAATGACGTTTACTGGAGAAGCCAGTCTCGACCCGTTCAAACGTTACGAGCTCTTATATCCGAAAAAAAAATGTTTTGAGATAGAACGTCCACAAATTCTCTTACTGCTTCTCTCTAACGGTGAGGTATAATGTGAGGTAAATTCAAATGTGTGTGCAAGCTTCAAATATGCCACTGACTTTCCTCTGCAGGACCAGTACACAGGACTTACCAGAGCTCTGACAACACTTTTAAGGGAATTCTTATTATTTTTTTTCTTTTTGAGGTGCCAGGAAGAAGAAATAAAACTCTTCATTCACCCCGTTAAGGGTCCCAAAAATTATGCATTAGTATTTGTTAAGGTAAGCACATACGTTCCGAAAAAAACAAAGTTACAAACTAATAATCCTAAAGAAACTAAATAACAAAAATAAATAAATATATACAACTATGTGCAACACTGCCAAGGGATAAAGCGTAGAAATTTCCCTTGGCAGTGTTGGGAAACGAATATTTACAACTATATATGGATCTTAAACCTACAAAATAAAAACAAATAAAAATATGTACACCAATATCAACACTGCTAAGGGAGACTTAGCAAATAATGACATAATAACAATTAATAAAACATTAAAATCTATTCCTATTGTATAAAACAATGAAATCTGGCAATTAAATTTAGACAGAGATAAATCAAAAAATAAACTACATAACTAAGAAGTCGAACTGAGCATTTTTTTATTTTTCCAAAATTTTTCACCCACATGGTTATACGCTAATGTTTTGAGAATTTGAACATTTTTTAAACAGCTAAGTATCTTCCTGAAATTTGCATCACGCACTAAATTAAGCCTCCTGACAATGATCCCTGCTTCAGATTTGCTCTCGGAATTCGGAATAATTTTTTATTAGCTAACCTGGTCTAGCTTTGGAAAAACTGACATCGTCCGATAAATGTCTTTCCTGCTGCATAACCGCTCGAGCCTGGGGGCTAAAAATTAACCAATGTGAGCAAGAGTCTGAGAAATCGAATGACGTTTACTGGAGAAGCCAGTCTCGACCCGTTCAAAGGTTACGAGCTCTTATATCCGAAAAAAAATGTTTTGAGATAGAACGTCCACAAATTCTCTTACTGCTTCTCTCTAACGGTGAGGTATAATGTGAGGTAAATTCAAATGTGTGTGCAAGCTTCAAATATGCCACTGACTTTCCTCTGCAGCATCCCCCTGTGGCACACAAATATCTGCTAAATATTAAAACTAAATGTTTCGTAAATATGGAAAGTGACAAATTTTTTTTTATTGAATAAATATTGAAAACTTATACTTAAATAATATTTGAAAGAAATCTTTATAATACATAATTTTTTTATATTTTCTATATATGTATTATGTAGTAATATTGTAACAATGTAGATTATGGCATTTTTTTTTTATTGAATAAATATTGAAAACGTATGGTGAAAAAATATTAAAAAAATATATATGCGATATATAGTTTTTTATATTAGCTACATATTAGCAATATAATATTGTAACAACATTGAATTTGACAATTTTTTCGATCATATAAATATTTTATGAAATCACTACAAAAACAAAACAATCATAACATTGTACATTTCAACTGAAACAGTAATTAATGTTTGATCATGAAGTTTTATTATTACACACAACTTATCGGACGCGTTATTATAGTTGTTAAACGTAATAAAAATGAAACTTATATAAGGATAATTATAACTCCATCAAAATTAAGGATTGTTTTAAAATATATTTTCACTACTCACCAGGACTTATCGAAGAGGTAATCCGCTTTTTCCGGACACCGTCTGTATATTTCATTAGTTTATTGCAATATATTTTTTAATTAAATAAACAGCAGATCATTTTGCTCTAACTCCTTAATAGAAAAAATGTAAACCTGTTGTAATATTTGCTTAACTATTCAAAAACATTTAAGATGAAGAACTAATCTTAACGCTTTATTCTCTACTTATCCAGCTGACAGTTATACACCAGCAAAATTAAAAAAAAGAAAAACTCTTTTCAAGAAATTTTATTTTAAATGAAGATTTTACAAATGAGATTTTTTTACACAGGTAACACAAGACTTTAATCTAGATGATAATTTTATTAACAACAGTTAATAGAAAAGTGTAGGTACAAGTGTGAAAATTGAAAATTCTATAGCCACAAAATTACCTGCAATTTTCAGAGTAAATTTAAACTAAACTTTTGTATGTGTAATTCGATTTTTGCTTTGGGCCAAGTATAACGAAACAGTTTTCTTAATTTGTTCGTCTGATGCCGTTGCATGTCTTTTCCTAGTAGCAGCTGCAAAAGACAATATTATTTAATGTGCTTGATCTTAATATAATATTTTACCTAAAACTGCACTGTAAATTTTCAAGTTGCAAAAAGGCAATTTGTGCTTTTTGCCAACACCAGAGTAATTTGTTGCAAGAGTATTTGTTATCAATTTTTTCATTATCATATATATCGTTTTAGTGACAGTTTCTCCACCTACTAGATACAAAAAGTTGACCTACAAAGTTTCTTCATATTCTTATATGAATGTACTATACTGTAAGTGGGTACCATACCAAGTCTGAAAAAATTTGATCGTCCATGATGCAACTGTCCAATGCATTTAAATCGTCTGAGCTACTGCATGGCAGTTTATCAACAAACATGCTGTCATTGATGGATCCAGATGAGCTGGTTATTTGTGAATATTTTATTTTCATCATGGTATCCATTTCATCCACTTTCTTCGCCAACGCTTTAATCGAATACTTCATTTCACTTTGGTTTTTTAGTATTTGGTTCCAAATTCCTTAAAAATATACAGAAATCATCGCAATTACATCTAGGACACATACTATATAGAGCAACTTTGTTGTAAACTTACCACTCAAAACAGCCGTATCATGAGATATGTTGGTTACCGTACTTGTCGAGCTCGCAACACTTAATCCATCTCCCAAAGGTGACACTACAAAAAAGTGTAATAAAGTTACACCAACAATATGCTTGTGATTTTGATTATTAATTTCAATCTATTGCAATTTTCGACAAAAAACTTATGATTTCTTTGAACTTTTTGAAATAATTTTAGTGTTCTTATTTTAAATAAAATGGGTCGTTTATTATCGATCACTTTACTTGCTTTAGTTTTCAGATTCAATTTGTTATAAAAATTATCTTCACTTACGCCGATTGTTAAATGATTTTTCTTGATTAGATGAGTTATGTGATTGTTCTTCCGGTGGTATATTATATTTGGTTTTAGCTTGTTTTTGTAAAACATCACAACCTTCTTGATCACCTAAAAGACTGTGGTACAAAGAGAGACAATATTTTAGAAAATGCATTATACTTAATTCATATGAAATTCTTTTGCGACTTTTTCTTTTTAATTTTTGTCCAAGATCGTCGTTAGTGCTTTTGGGAAAAGATTTTTCGGATGGTGTGTCATAAAATCGCAAAATGGTTTTATGTGAAAATGGTATGGTACGTTTGATTAATTGTGAAAGCAATACACAATTAATCAAACGTACCATACCATTTTCACATAAAACCATTCTGCGATTTTTACGTTTGTTCATTTCTTCATCGCTGTCGCTCGTATTTTCAATATTGGAGGTATACTGGCCCATTTCACATAATTGCTGGGCTCGTTTTAAAACTTTTACATCCTTTACCTTAACTTCAGCAGGATACCACTTATAGTTTGCTTCAATATTTTGAGATTCATATATGACTTGCCGGAGCTTTTGTTGGGACATCCCAGATGGATACTTGTACAAACTTCGATCTTCGCTTGCCCATGAAGAAGGTACGAAATCAATTGCATTTTCTGTTGCCCAGATTATTACATCCCACATCTTTAAAACTATAACGCAAAAATAAACAGACTCTTCTTTTATTTGTAGAAATTCAGAAACAAAATACAAGATAACAAAAATAATATAATATAGTATGATATAAAGAACAAATATTACAATAATCCACAACTATAATAGCTACAACTGTTACACATGTCCATTATTTATATTTCGATACTGTAATATTTTGTTATTAGTTATTTAAAAATTAAAAAAAAATGTAAGTTTAGTTTAAATGAAGAAGTTCACATGCAATATAATAATTTTCGCTTTTTAAAACCCAGCATTTACCTACAACATCATGTACTGGAATTTGTTGTATATTCCATTTGAAATTACTGAAGTTATATATTCCTATTCTACGCGAAGGGACGGGATCATCATAAAGGTTTTGTAAATCAGTTGACAAATAACCTACGACATATGTACTGTCAGGAAATTCAATAATTTTAATTATCAATTTATTCTTAAGAAGTGCAAAACAGTCCTTATCATTATTAAAATTATACTTAAAATTCGAAAATATAAATGTATTTGTTGATTTATTTGAAGGACTTTTTGTTTTTTGTTCTGTGCAGTTTAACGAAAAATAACCTTCAGAGATTCTCCTGCATATTTGAGCACAAGGCTTAGAGGGAGACCTTACGGCAAATTTTATTTTTGCTAAAAAGCTTTCAAAGGTAAATGCACTAAATTCATGCAGGGTCTCTTTAAAAAACACAACATCATCGGCTAAATGGATCAGTGAATGCACATTATACACACAGAATTCTGAACCATAATAGTCTGAAGAGTCTTTAACAAAATCTGTAAGCATTTGCTTGGCCAAATTAACCCAATCTTCGTAAATTATTAATTTAGGATGCAATAATATACGCATCGAAGCATGAAATAATAGAAAATGTTTATATAAAGTCTCAGACAAAAGATCATTTTGTGCAATGTACTTTTTTAACCACAGTAAAATACCAAAATAAACAAAGTTACCATCGGTGCCTTTTGAACTTTTCATTACAGTTAAATTAGCCTTACGCTCAGTCTCCAATATAGTTCTGCCATCTGAAGGTAGTTTAAAATCCGGAAAAACATCTGCCATAATTTTTAATAGAGAGTTCAATTGTTTCAAATTAATTTGCTGATGGATCGCCCAGCCTTTTATTAATAAAATAAATTTATTTTCCCGGGAGCCAGTACCTTTGGTCTTTATCGAGTCAGCGGTTTTATTATCTGCAAAACTTTCAATTAACGTCCTATGTTTTGACTGGACCTCCTCAGCTGCTAAGTAACTTGTTGAACTGTGAGGGCATTCGTTGGCTTCGGATGCATCGGTCAGAATTAGGTGGAACACTTACACTCTCGTTATTTACATTAGCAGGATCCGACAACTGTTGTAATTCATTTCTAATGAAACGATACTTGCTACAATAACGGGCCCATTTCGACTTATTTGCTGACATGACAGTTCACTATCTATACTTACCTTACAATTTGGAACTCGGGAACACAAGTTCTTACACCACACAGGCTGCACGACAAACGCCACAAACCACGTAATGGAGTCGTCTTTATAGGTGGAATGTAGATGATTGTTTTTTATTATAAATCGCAACAGTTACAACCCGAGCGAACACCTGCTGTCAATATGTACGGACACGCAATTTTCGTTTACTATAATAAGCCTAAACACTGATATACATTTTGTATCATCATTACTAACAGTACAACAAATCTAATAAAGTACCGGTGTACGGCGCACAATGCTGGATAGCCAGACTCAACACACTCGCAAACAATCAACTTCCACGTGTCGTATAAGCAACCAATTAGCCAATAACACGTGACGTCACGCTGTGGCGGGAACTCAGCGTTTGACAAGCGCCGTGAAACTCCATAAGTGGCAATGTTAACATTTTCGCATTTCATTTAAAAGTGTAGGTATTTATCTAGAAAATAAACACGTGAATAGCTTCTTTCATATCTTTTCTGTGTATCAGGGTGCTTTTTTTGGCGATTTGAGTTTAAAAATACATAATAAAAATAAAAATACAGAACGCTGTTTTGGTCTGAATTCCTCGTCACCCAAAATACATCCGTGTGTTTTAAGCGGTAAATCGGAAATTAATATTTTCGTTTGAGGTTAATGTGACGGGTTTAAGTGAAGGTGTGTGATTTGTTTTTAAAGTATGGATAATTTAAGTGATTATGCACGACGTCTTTCTTTCAAAGAGAAAAACAGATATGTACAAAAGTTAAACAATTTAAACGGCGGAGATCCTTATACAATGAGTGCAAGTGATTTTAATTTGTGTTTAGACCATGTCCCTACCATAACAATGAATACCATTCTAAACTTTTTTATTTTTGGAATAAGTAAAATAACCCACAATGAAATTCGTGCATTCAAAAGTCTAGAGGCATTTATTCAGTTTTCTCTTTTTTAAACAACTGTGTCTTTCAAAATTACAAGTATTATGAGTGGATTTATTTTGATATCCTAAATTTTGTGATGGAACATAATCAGGATGGTCCACATCCGACAAATTTGCAGGTTTACCTAAAAGAGCACCAATGTAGTAATTTATTAGAAACTGTAAATCTAATAGGTAGTTACTGTACCTAAAATAAAATGATCCGAACAAACATAGGAATACTTTACTTTGGCTTCGTTAAATCCACTCGTTTCAAGGCTTTTAACCAAAGCTTCCGCTTTTTTTTTTCCATCCTGTATATATTTACCTTTATTGTTGCTAATTGCTGGGAAAGGAAAATAAAATTTGTCCGCATTTCTGGTGCTTCGATTCGCGCAACCCACAACAGCACAAAATTTAGGCATTTTCTCCTAAAATACAAAATATTATAATATTAAGATGCTAGTGTATTTAAAAAACATTGATGTACATTAACAAAGAATTAATTTGCAAAACAAATGATATAAGATGCAGCGAAGTTAACCTGTACATCACATTGGAAAACTTTATTTTTTAAGCCTATTCAAACGTTATGGTGCGTTTTACAGATATCTACACAGTGTAGAAACTGTAACAAACTTACCAAACCATAAAAACACAGTTGTCACACTCTCAAATTTAAATGAATTCCGAAAATATTAGCATTGACTCTTATGAGAAAACCGGCTAGTTGTCAAACGCTGCCATCTTGGTGACCTCGGATGACGTCAGTGTATTTGGCTAATTGCGTTTTAAAGACAGTTAGTAGTACGCGTGCGCAGTATTCATCGAAATCTCTGGAATAAAGTGAGGCGCACCATTTAAAAGTATAATATAAAATTGTTTCATTTATTTTTATGGATGATACACATGCATGGTTTTGTGAAACAGAACAACTGCTAAATTTTCAAAATTTTATTTAAAATAAAGTGACAAGTTATTAATAGCGTTATGCAGGGTGCGATTCGTTTTGAATGCCGTGTATGTTTATAATATGTTAAAAATATTACATAAATATTGAAAAGTCCTCGAATTCTCATTCATTATCATCATAGATACAAAAAAAGTCAAAGACCAAAGTTCTACGATTCTTTGAGTTCTAAACACAAAAATTATTTTTAACAGTACAGTGTCTTCTGTTTTTATGACGTAACAAATACATTAGTTTTTTTTTAATAGAATAGCCTGTGTAATTCTACATATTCTCATTATAGTCTCTTCTTAGGCTTTATAGCAACAGTATACTTACGAAATTTATTAAAAATTTTTGGCAATGGATTCGCAAAATAAGTTCATTTTTTAATGTAGAATATAATCGTTTCGTGGAAGAATATATTGTAATATACAGAGTGTTTATAAAATTTTGTAAAATTTAAAATTTTCAAATATCCATATTATAATATAGAACACCCTGTATTTTATGAATATGTCTTACTCTGTTTTTTGTTCTAATACCATTAATATGATCATGTGTCTTTCAGAAAAGTAAAAAATTAACTATCAACTTTAAGTATAGAAAATACTTCAAGAAAAAGAAAAGATACAAAAATAAAATAAGATGTAGTAATAATCTACAGGTTATTTGAAAACACTTAAATATCCATATTTAAAAATAATTTTACAATTTTTTAATATAATCTCTATATTAAAATTTAACTTAATTAACACCACAACAATTTAAAAATAACTTTATTGTAATTTTTGTCAATATTTAAATTTCCAAAAAACTCTACTATAAAACCTAGGAGGAGGTTAATGAGAATATGTAAAAATATACACGTGAAAAAGTATAAGTTGCGTACTACGTCTTAAAAAGAGAACACTCGGTATAGTTTAAAATTATTTTAGAGTATAGTACGCAAAGAACCGTCAACTTTGATCTTTGACATTTGTATGTTTCTAATAGTTAATGAGAAATCGAGAATCACACGTTTTGTGCTTGTATATTGAGCACAATGTTCAAGAAATATTTGTACAATATAGAAATAATAAATATCTGACTAAGATTTATGAAAAAATATTTTAAATTTATAGATTGATCAATATTTAATATTATATATTTAATATATATGTCAAAAATATTGGGGTATGATATATTTGGTATCCAACTTTTAAACAATATTTATTAAATATTACTTTTCTTATATATGTTTCACAACATATATTTTATATTTCTACAATATTTTAAATATTTAGCACATATATAATATTAACAAAATATATCCTGCATGTTTTTAAAATATTGTGTGCTACCTGGGTCAGTACACAGGACTTACCAGAGCTCTGACAACACTTTTAAGGGAATTCTTATTTTTTTTTCTTTTTGAGGTGCCAGGAAGAAGAAATAAAACTCTTCATTCACCCCGTTAAGGGTCCCAAAAATTATGCATTAGTATTTGTTAAGTTAAGCACATACGTTCCGAAAAAAACAAAGTTACAAACTAATAATCCTAAAGAAACTAAATAACAAAAATAAATAAATAAATAAATAAATAAATAAATATATACAACTATGTGCAACACTGCCAAGGGATAAAGCGTAGAAATTTCCCTTGGCAGTGTTGGGAAACGAATATTTACAACTATATATGGATCTTAAACCTACAAAATAAAAACAAATAAAAATATGTACACCAATATCAACACTGCTAAGGGAGACTTAGCAAATAATGACATAATAACAATTAATAAAACATTAAAATCTATTCCTATTGTATAAAACAATGAAATCTGGCAATTAAATTTAGACAGAGACAAATCAAAAAATAAACTACATAACTAAGAAGTCGAACTGAGCATTTTTTTATTTTTCCAAAATTTTTCACCCACACGGTTATACGCTAATGTTTTGAGAATTTGAACATTTTTTAAACAGCCAAGTATCTTCCTGAAATTTGCATCACGCACTAAATTAAGCCTCCTGACAATGATCCTTGCTTCAGATTTGCTCTCGGAATTCGGAATAATTTTTTATTAGCTAACCTGGTCTAGCTTTGGAAAAACTGACATCGTCCGATAAATGTCTTTCCTGCTGCATAACCGCTCGAGCCTGGGGGCTAAAAATTAACCAATGTGAGCAAGAGTCTGAGAAATCGAATGACGTTTACTGGAGAAGCCAGTCTCGACCCGTTCAAAGGTTACGAGCTCTTATAACCGAAAAAAAATGTTTTGAGATAGAACGTCATTCATAAAATATTTGTTTAAAACCAAAAGAACTCAACAAGTTTTTCTTTCTTCCACTTTTGTAGGACACTCAAAAAAATTATGATATAAGTCACTACTTAGAATTGTACAATTTTTCTGACAGTAATGCTTTTAGGCAGTGGCGACTGGTGGGTTAAAATTTCGGGACGGCCAAATATTTTGAGTCTACACACCTTTGTGTTACATATTTTCGTAATGTATGACCACTGACATTTGACATGCCAGGATGTACAAAAACATCTCGAATGTTTCGACTTCGACTTGTTAAAATAATTTTTTATAGGAAATTGACAACGTCTGTTTGATTCCAAACACTATTAAAATCCTTAGTTTTACCTGTTCTGCCATTATCATTAATTGAAAACCACCGAAAAAATTATTTTTGTTCACCAATAAGTCTCCAACCACTTCGTTAAAAAAATCTAAATGGACTGAATTTAAATTAACGAATTCATCAATTTCTTTCCGATTGCATACAGTTATCGCAGTCAGAAAACAGTACTCTAGAAGCACGCTGATGACAGCCGTTAATTGTAATTTCAGCCAAAAGAATTAGCTACAACTACAATAGAACGCGGGAAAGTGATTAGAGGTTAGAGCCAGGCCACAGACGCCAGGCAGAACAACATTTATAACGAAAAAAATTACATCAAGTGAAGATGAGTGTGATGATGGAGTGTATATTATTAAATTGCATGTCAATATGAAAATAAATTTTATTACAGTATCAGAAATATCAGAAGAATCTCATACCCAAAGGCCGGTGAAAAACTCAACGATTTATATTTGGAATGACGCTTCAACAAAACTCTTCATAACTTTGTATGAGCAACATAAAATTTGCTTTGATTCGAAAAAATGTACAAACAGGAGTGTTTGGGGACAGATCGCAGGGGAAATGCAGTCGCATTCGTACCATGTAACAATTGAGCAAGTGGAAAGTAAATGGAAAAACTTAAAAGAACAGTAGATCATAACAATTCCAGTGGAAGAGACAGAGCAGACTGGCCGTACAGCTCTGTTATGGACAAATTATTTGGGCAAAGACCAGAAATAAAACTCCCAGTACTGTTAGGCACAATGCCGACTGACAAAAATGTACAAGACATGCCTGGTACTAGCGGAACGGTACAGGAAAAGCAACCCAACAACTATAAAATCAGAAGAAACAAGCGTCAGCGGCCTTATATCAGCAAACGAGTGATGAGCCAACATGGTTAGTTGATTATAAAGAACAAGCTGAGAGGAGACATAACGAGAAGATGGCTATCCAAGCCAAATTGCTTGAGGCTGTTGAGAAGTTGAGTGATAAAGTGTAAAATTGAATTTGCATCTAAAGTAGAAAGAAAACTTTATTTTTATCAGTGTCTTTACTTGATGTTACCAAGAAAGTATTTTTATTTTGTTACATATTATATCATTGAATTGTTAACTACATTTGTCTGAATATTTTAATTTTTGTTAGTTAAAATTATCATAATATAATAAATTTACAATGTGTTCACGCTTCTGGTTCCCTTGCTGTTCAGGAACACCTTCCACTTCTTCTGCAATATTCTCATCCTCCTCGAACACCTCTATGTCATCATCCCCCATCCGCATACCAATGTTGTGTAAAACACAATCAGCTAATATGATAGTCGGAACCAAGTCAGTTCTCACCTTATTTATGGAACGCAAAATTCTAAAGCGTCCTTTCAGTAAACCAAAGGTCTATTCAATGGCACATCTTGTCTCGGAATGAATTCTGTTGTAGTTTTTCTGAGGAGCTGTTAAATGCCCGTTATCTTTAAATGGTGTTAATATATATGTCCTATTTGGGTATGCTGAATCCCCTAATAAATGCATTGTTTGAGGAAAACGGGCTTCACATTGAACCATTTGCAAAACTGGGGAGTTGTTGAACAGTCGTGCATCATGTACACTTCCCGGATACCCTGACATGAGGACAAGTTAATAAAAATGTATGTATTGATTTTTGTTATACACCAACAAAGCAGTCGATAAAGAGGTATTTGGAATTGCAAACTCCCTGTAAATGTATGGAGTGATATTTATTTCTACTAATATAGGATGTATGCTCAAATACTGGAGTCGATATTCTAAAATGACACCCATCGATCGCACCAACAACGCCCGGAAAATTGCCCCGTAATTGAAAACCCTGAATGGTTTAATTCAGTTGCTTTTCTGTTGGCCAAACAATATGATCTTTAGAAATTTGACATATTAATGCAATTTTATGCACGTTATCCCAACAAGTTGATTTGGAAAGATCAAAACGATCTGCAATGGACCTAAAATTTGACTTATGTCCAAATGCTGCAAACTTTTTGTTAACTATAGGTACCTAAAAACTTCTTGGTTCGCCATGAACCATAAAAACACGAGTACTTGCTTTTCAACATTTATATGAGGGCGGCCAGGGCCAAGCTGTTCAACGTTCACTATTTTCGGGGCAAGCAGTTCCACTATCCCATGAAACGTTTCACGGTACATGCGAAAATGAGAATGAAATTCTTCAAAAGACACAAATTCCAAATTTAATGAAAATAATGTTACTTTAACTTACCATCAGGTCTGTACATGCTAATCGTTTGCGTAAAGGTGGTTGTTGCGAGCGAGGCAACTAGCCAATTTATTTGAGTTGAGATGAAGAAATATAAGAGGGATGAAAATCCTACCTGGTGGATGAGTTTTTCTTGGAGAAGAGGATGAGACTCGGGTTGGTTGTCTTGCGTCTTCTGCTGGCGCCAGCGGGTTTCACCTCGTGTCTTTTTCTACGCGTCCCTTATTGCACGCGCACGTTAAACGTCAAAGGGTCGTACTCGTACTCTTAAAACCGCGCACCGCTCTCTCTCTCTGTTATGCCGCCGATAGATGGCGCTAACATAACCGCCCACCAAATTTTCGGGGAAAATTTTAGGAAAATGAGAATAAATTCTAGGGACGGTTGAATGATAACCAAGTACATAAAGAATTGATAATAGATCCCAAAGATAATAACTACTCAAAAAGAAAATAAAGGAGAATTCTGAAAAGAAAGGGGAAAAAATAAAGGAGAAAAAGAAAAAGGGGGAGACTTTACTGAGGGGGTAAAGTCACGAGTTTGTTAACGGGACGAATATATTGTCCTGAAGCAGTCCTAACTCTCACGACCCGGACAACTCCGTCGGGTCCAGGCAGGACTGTTTCAACACGACCAATAGGCCATGATAATGGATGAGTATTGATTCCACACATGAAGACGACGTCACCTTCTTGATTGTTAGGTGCACTACGGTGCCATTTGCGCCTTTGAGTTTGTGTATGTAGGTAACCAAAACTGTTGGAAAAGTTGACGAAGGCGCTGCCAACGGCATTTAAAAGTTATGTTTCCTGGTATATCGGGTTCGGGAGGAGAAAGTAGCGGTGATCCTATAAGGAAATGTCCAGGACTCAAATAATCAGTGTTTTCCATGGGGTCGAAAGAAACTGAACATAATGGTCGGCTGTTCAATGTGGCTTCTATACGAGCGAATAAAGTTGTATATTCCTCGAAGGTGTGTGCTGTATCTTTGATAAGTCGCTTCAGGAGGTTTTTAGCGGATTTTATTCCAGCCTCCCAAATTCCGCCGAAGTTGGATGCAGTGGGAGGGTCGAAATTCCAGTTTATTTGTTTGGCCGACAAGGAGGAGAAAATTTGATCCTTATGTTCATGTAAAAATCTGGTTATTTCCTTTAAATGGTTTGCTGCTCCAATATAGTTTCGTCCACAATCGGAATAAATGGTTTGAGGAAGGCCACGTCGTGATACAAATCGATCAAAGACAGCTAAAAAGGCAGAAGTAGAAAGCTCAGTGACAAATTCGAGATGAGTGGCTTTGGTGCTCATGCAAACAAATAAGCATAAATACCCTTTATAGATTCGGGCGCTACGGCGTTTACTTTCTTTCACAAGAAAAGGTCCGCCGAAATCGGTGCCAACTTGTAAAAATGCTCGCACCAGTTGAGTTCTATATGCAGGAAGATCTGCCATGATAGGCTGAGCCGGAGTTGCCTTGAATCTATGGCAAGTTAAACATCTGTGTATTCGCTGACGTAATAAAGAACGCAGGGAAACTATCCAAAATTTTTGGGAGATAAGAGCTTGTACGGTTAAAGGCCCAGAATGTAAAGAGTACAGGTGATAGAAATCGCAAATAAGAGCAGACAAATGTGAGTGTTTGGGAAGTAGAAGTGGATGTTTTTGTTCAAATGGAAGATAAGAATGACGTAGACGTCCGCCCACCCTGAGGAGCCCAGCTGTATCCAAGAATGGTGACAATTTTGATAAAGCTGTGGGTATAGATATGTTATTCTTGAGTTTCTCAATGATGTCAACATAGTAATGTCGCTGAACGATGAAAACGCAGGATATTAATGCTTCTCGCAGTTCATTCAAAGAAAGGGCTCCAGTTTTGCGTTGATTATGGTATCGAGCATTATTGATAAATCGTCGTACATACGCAAAAACTCTTTGAAGTCGAACAAGTGAGGAGAATTTACAAAGAACGTCTTCAGTGGTGCGCACATTAAGAACAATCTTGCCCTTGCGCTTCTCGGGAATATCGCTATCAGGGATAGATGTTCTTTGACGGGGCCACTTGTTAGGCGGTTGTGATAAGAATTCTGGTCCATAAATCCAAGAAGGAAAAGTAGATAATTGTTGAGGAGTCATTCCCCGGGAAGCGGCGTCTGCGCAGTTCTCTTTAGAGCTTATGTAATACCAGCTTTCAGGATTGGTGAGCTCAATTATTTTAACTACTCGATTAGCTACAAAGGGTTTTAAAATATGAGGCATAGTTTGTAGCCAGGCTAAGACGATTTGAGCATCAGTGTATAGTAGAGTTTCTTCTATCTTGAAAGTAGAAAGAGATTTTCGAACGGAGACAAATAACTTCGCTAACAGCAGTGCTCCTGAGAGTTCAAGGCGAGGAATGCTTAGCGGTGTGAGGGGTGCAACTTTGCTCTTTGCTTTGAGAAGTATGGTGTAATTAGAGCTGTCACGTAAGAAACAGAGGTAAATACACGCGGCGAACCCCTTTTGGGAAGCATCGCAGAAGCCTATTAATCGGAGTTGCTGATAATCATTTGGGAATTTTCTTGGAATCTTGATTTGTTGGAGAAGGTGGATTTCTGCAACAAATGTCTCCCATTGATGTCGGAGAATTGGATTCAGCGGTTCGTCCCAATCACACTGAAAGAGCCATAATTGTTGTAAGAAATGTTTAGCCCAAAAAACCACGGGCGTCAACCAGCCGAGAGGATCAAAAATCTGAGAGATGTAAGAGAGAATAGTTCTTTTCGTGGAAGGACCGTGAAATTGATGAGTGTGGTATGTGAAATTGTCCGAATTTGGTTCCCACATGAGCCCAAGAATTTTAAATGCAGATTCTTCTGTTGAAAATACGATGGGATTTTCAAGATACTGTGCAGGCAGAGAATTCAGTGATTCAGGAAGGTTGCTGCACTATTTTCTTAGTTCGAATCCACCTTTGGACAAAAGGTTAATCAGTTCGGTTTTAAGCTTTTCCGCTTCTTTCATTGAAGCAGCTCCAGTCACAATATCGTCCACATAACTGTGCGCAATCAATGCATTTGAGGCGAGAGGATATTGTGCTCCTTCATCAGTGACTAATTGATGTAGAACTCTCTGTGCGAGATATGCGGATGAGGTTAGTCCATAAGTAACGGTATTAAGCTCATACTCTTGGACAGGAAGGTTGGGTTTTGATCTCCAAAAGATATGCTGGAACTGTCGATCTTAAGGTACTAGCATGATTTGCCGGTACATCATGCGGATATCAGCGCAAATGGCAACTTCGTGAACTCGAAAAGATATCAAAATATCGGACAAATCATTTTGCAGTTTAGGGCCGGGTAGTAAGCGTTCGTTTAATGAGCTTCCTTTGGAATCGAGAGCTGATCCATTGAAAACGACTCTTATTTTAGTGGAAGAACTCGTTTGCTCGAAAACACAATGGTGAGGCAAAATGTAGGACGATGGCTTTGTAATGACATTCATGTGGCGTAGATCTTCATATTCAGTAAGGAAGGCTTGATACGGCGCTTCGGTTCCGGGTTGTTTATGTAAACGCTTTTCCAAGTTAAAGAAGCTCTTCATGGCAATGTGTCTATTTACACCAAGGGAAGTACATCCTTTTTTGAAGGGTAAAGACACAGAATATCTGCCAGAAGCATCACGAGAGTGGGTTTGAAGAAAGTGTTCTTCACAAAATACGTCATCAGGATTAACAGGTTTTGAAATCTCAATTTCTTTTTGCTCCCAGAATTGTCGTAATAAAGAATCCAGTGAAGGGTTGACGACGAGTAACGACACTGAAGAGGTAGTAGGGTGTTCTATTGAGGTGTTTCCCATTATTATTCAACCAAAAAGTGTTCGAATCGCAGAAGGATTCCCGGAAATTATATGTGGTGAATGAGGTGACAAAATATGTGGGTAAATATCTGCACCGATAAGAAAATCTATTTTTGAAGGTTGATCAAAGGAAGAATCGGCAAGGTCGATTTCCATAAATTTTTGACGAATAGAAGTTGGTAGAGGAAGCGTAGGCAATTTATTGGCGATGGATGTTAACACCACAGCATTGACCTTGAGACTTTCAGATGAATATTTGGAACGTAAAGTGCAGTTCACTATTCCTTGTGTTTTTGTGTATGATCCTGATATACCACTTACCTCGATATTTTTTGCTTGCGATCGCCTAAGACCCAATCTGTTCACTGTTCTTAAAGTTATCGCGGAGATTTGTGATCCAGGATCAACAACTGCTCGAATTGGCCAAAAGATTCCAGCTTCATCTTGAATGAAAAGCTGTACTGTTCCTAATAAGACATAATGGGGAAGCAGGTTGTTCGTAGTTCGACAGGATAGTGTTACAGTAGTACTATTCGGTGGAATTTCCTTTGTACTGTCCTTCTCTGCATGCAAGAGTGTGTGATGTTTGCCATTGCAGTGTTTACACGTATTTGTAGAAGCACAAGAGGTTAGGAAATGGTTACCCAGGCAGTTGAAACATCGTATGAGAGATTTTATCGTATCATATTTTTGTTGGATACCTTGGGCGAGAAATTCTTCACAACGTGATAGTGAATGACTACTTTGGCATAATGGACACGTCGGTGCAGGTGATAGTCCCTTTCGAGAGCTTCCAGGGCTATTATTTTCCTTCGTTTTAGTAAGGAAAGAGTTGGGGCGCTTGGATGGTAGAGATTTTAAGCGCGATTTGCTCGTGTTGGAGGTTTCAGCAGCGCCGACAACTTCAAATGTCTTGCATTGTTCTGTTACGAAGTCGATTAATTCTTTATACGTGGGAATGCTGTTACTCTGTATTTTGGCTTCAAAGGCTTTACGAATATTCGTATCAAGGTTTTCAGAAACCATTTGGAACAAGAGAAAGTCAGCAAGATCGGGAATATTCAGAGCTCTCAAAGCGTTTATGGAGTTTGAGTGAATGTTGAGAAAGTGTTGAAGGCCGTTGCGGGTGTTCAAAGATGAACCAGTAAAATTTTTGATTTGGGAAAGATAATGAATGGCGAGTCTTCTTTTGTTTTGGTAACGATTTTGTAGAGCTGCGAAGGCAAGGTCGTAATTTTCGGGAGTGACTTCGAGCGCCGAAACGACTGCTAATGCGTCGGAATGAAGCAGTGATCGCAAATAAACAAATTTCTCCGCTGATGAAAGCGTTGCGTTTTTGTGAATAATTGAAGTAAACAAAGAAATAAAATTATTCCAATCTTCGATCTTTCCGCTGAACTTTGGAATGGCAATATTAGGTAGAGAGGATTTGCTAGCCGTGGACGTGTGTGGGGCTGAACTGGTATCGCTCGAGGCTGGCATACTTCGAATCAGATCCATATATTTTCCACGAACTTCGTAGATGATATTATCACATGCTTTTTGGACATTTAGAACCTCCAATTTATCTGCAGCAATTTTTATTTGCGAATTGCGGTCGATTATTTGATCTTGAATTCCCTCAAATCTTGCCTCCAATTCCACTAATTTATCAATTCGAGGTCGAAACAAGCGAACATTTTCCGAGGTTAGGGTTCGAGAAGAATCCAGAACGTTCTGAATTCTAGGAAATAGTGATTCACGTTTAATGCGTAATCCCTCCAGCTCGGTAAGGATTTCTTCGGGTGTGGGCATTTTGTAAACAAATCACACGATTGAATTGTAAACAAACCGATAAGCAACGAGGAGACAAAAAGCGGTTTGCGATAAGGATGCTCGAGTGAAGAAAAACTTCGACTGTCGCCGGGTACGATAAAGAGAGCAAAAACTACCAGAAATGAATGATTTAAACAACATGTATTGCGAAGTGGACTGTATTCAGAGGAATTATCCGGGTTCGTAGGACCAATATGTTGCGAGCGAGGCAACTAGCCAATTTATTTGAGTTGAGATGAAGAAATATAAGAGGGATGAAAATCCTACCTGGTGGATGAGTTTTTCTTGGAGAAGAGGATGAGACTCGGGTTGGTTGTCTTGCGTCTTCTGCTGGCGCCAGCGGGTTTCACCTCGTGTCTTTTTCTACGCGTCCCTTATTGCACGCGCACGTTAAACGTTAAAGGGTCGTACTCGTACTCTTAAAAAAGCGCACCGCTCTCTCTCTCTGTTATGCCGCCGATAGATGGCGCTAACAGTGGTTATGCAATTTCTCTTTCGACGTGGAGGCTTTAATACATTTGATAACGTTTTTAACACCAGCACATCATCTTCAAAGTCGCTATCATTTAACGCACTGATAATGGCCATACTTGCCCTTATCAGACATCTTAATTTGCGTCTCCTTTCAACAAGAGTACCCATTTACGATTATGAACAAAAAAAAACCCAACATTTGTTCGTAAATCTAAAGAGGTTATGTTATGGCTGTTATGACAGCTACAGACCTACTACAAGAAATCCCTACTATTGTTACAGTCTGCCACCTAGGAAGAAACCGTGAAATCAGTGCATTCGTTTATTACAAGAACTGGGTTGAAACCTCTGTTACCCAATCACGTGACTCTCGGGTTGGGGTCAGGAACTGAGGTTGAATAATCGTAAACGTCTTAAGTCGAAACATAGACCATAATGCATTTCTGGGTACGGCGTGCCGAAACCTCGCTGGATGTACCGCTACACGTTTCTTTTCAATGTGGCTGACAAAGACAACGATGAAATCGTAAGCGGATATTAGGTCAAAAGCAAAGAGCTTTGCAAAGCGTGTTTACCAGCATTTAAAATTAGCAACAAATGTGGGATTCAGTAAAATATATTTTTTAATATGTCCTATACTAAACGTACATTCAAACTTTGTTTTTTATTTTCTAATTTCAACGCGTACTAAGTATTTAAAAATAACTCGTACGGCATGCCCGACCCTGCCGCCCCTGATCAGCCGCCACTCCTTATAGGTAATCTTAAAACAAAGGATCACTGATTTTTGGATAATGATATAGACAGAATATAGAAATGTTGATGTGGCCAATTTGAGTATTGATTGCACAAACTTCAAAGATTTGCTCAGTAAGGTCAGATCCCACAATGTCTTACAGCTGCAAAATCTTCTCTGACAAAAATCAATACCTCCTCCTTGAATTGAGTTTTTAGAATAATAGCTCACAATACTGTATTTGTCAATTTTAATTTATTCAATTTCTTCATTAATTAGCCAAGTCTCAGTTACGCATAGCACTTCAGGATCATTTAGCGAATGACTGAGCACATTCATGTGAATTTTGTTTCTCAAGCTTCTAATATTTGCATTTACTGCCCATTCACAATGGACATAAGACATAAGAACGAGCGCATAACATAATTTATGTTTTTGGTTTGTGTCTGGCTTATGCTTATCTACGTTCACAGTGGACAGAGTGTACTCTGTAAGAATTGTTTAACTGCGCAAACGCAGAACGAAATAACTCCCGGCTAAACATAGAAACGGCTAACCTCAAACTGAGTCAATCAAAATATCTAACCTACAATTTCGTACGATATTCGAACTTGACAACTCGCAGTACAGAACAAACTCGTAGTGTGAAACTTTGATTATAATATATATAATATAATCAAAGGTGTGAAGTGCCAAGTGCCAACTGTCAAAGGGAATTCAATAGCAGCATTCAAATGTCCCTAGATTTTAACATAATTTTGACATAATTCGTGCACAAAGTTGAACTTATTTCAACTTTGTGTACGCACACAAGGATTACATAAAACGTTCATAAGCATAAGAATTACGTTCGTCCACTGTGAACAGGGGTACACGTTTTCCATTGTTTCAACTTTATGTATTTATGTAAGCCTTATGTACTTGTTATGCCTTATGTACTTGTTATGCCTTATGTCCATTGTGAATGGGCAGTTAATATTCCAAAGTAATTTAAAGTTACGTCGTCATTTTCTTCTGAAAAAAACCTACTTATGTAAACTAAGATCTCTTTAAAAGCATACAGATAATATTTTACAACTTTAGTCAAAAAACCCAACCCGCTAAACTCTAAACCATAAATTATGCAGGTACAACCGCCAAAGACCGTCTGCTTGGGGTAGCACAGGAAATTCTGGAGGCATGCGACAGGGTTTACCAGTTTACGAGGACTCTACTGCCAAGGTTAATTTATAAAGGAGAAGGTTGGAGTATAAGCGAGCATTTAGGCAATTCGGTTTACAGGGGTGAGGGGCAGCAAAGCACGTTGTGACGTCAGCGCATCAGCTGTCAGCTGTCGTGTGTCGAACTTGTTGAAGTGTTCGACATTTGACAGGATTATTATAATAAGAGTAATTTAATTATTCATAGAGTTTCTGCTTAGAGTAATTATTAATTATGCCGGGGCACTATTGTGCAGTGCACAGCTGTAATAACAAAAGCAAGGTAAATATTTACAATAATAATTTGCAATACATACAGGGTGACTGCGAAATAAGTGCAAATATTTTAACCACGGCATCCCCCACCCTAGTAGAGCCGAAATATAGAAAAAACAAATTAAAAATCGAATGGGGCAAAACCCCCATGAACCACCCTCGACACGAAGGCACTGAGCCACCTTGTAAACAGAGTTGGAAAAACGTTCGAATAAAAACGACCCAAACACTTTCAGTTTCAATTAAAAGTAAAACCGACTTTTTGCTGCTTATCATTCGTTCATTCATTTACTCATTCATCGTTAAAGGTCAGTGTGAAAGTTTTTTAGTAATTTTGATTCTGACGGATGTTTGGTCCTTGTCACAACGATTTTACATTGTTTATTGGAACAGAAATAAGAGCAACTTAGAATGCTACTACCTTTTTACAAGAAATGTTGAAAATGTTGTCCTTGACTAGCAATACAGGCGTCAGAGCGTCGCAAGAGGTTTGTTGATGGTAAAAAAACACCGGAGTAGCGGCTGCCACTTTCACTTGTTGATAATTTCTGAACACTGTTGATTTCCACAAACGAATTGTTTCATCCAACCAATACACGTTTCTCGAAAACCGTCTGTTGAAATCGTACTTGTTGATGAGTATGTGGAGTTCCATCGGACAAAAAGTGAGTTACACAACGTGGACTATCAGCGGGCTCCAAACCGTTACTTTGTCAACATGGTATGGATGTGACCGTGTTTTTTTAATGTAGGATGCACTACAAGCTGCGAAAATCCAAATTCTCCTTTCTGCCCCATCACGACCACGATCGTGAGTTTGAGGTTGAAGGTACCATGATCTCGGAGATGCTGTACCACCATATCGACGACACACTCTGCATTGGAAAACTGGACCATACACCGATTTCAACGACCGCTCGATAATGACTGGCCCTTTTCGTGTTTTTCACGTTGCGATTAAAAAAGTGCCTGATAAAGTTACTTTTTTGGTTCTTACTCCGAGTCCCCTACCCATTCATTGCAGTAATTATGTAGGTCACGAAACATTACCAGCGGCGCGTATAACAATTTACATTTAATTTCAAATAATTTTTTCTAGACACTGCTACCACTTAGGACCGTGAATTTTTGCCAGTGACATAATCATATTGTGAGCTATTCCCCATTTTTTTTTTTTGCATGTATTTCGCAGTCAGCCTGTATAGAAATTGAACTAACTATAAGGAATTAAGGGCATGGATAAAGAAAATTCTGCATCAATCTCATTCCACTTGTTTCCTAAAGACAAGACAGTAAGGGATATTTGGGAAAAATTTTGTCAGCGAAGCAAAAATTGGAAACCAAAATGTTCTTCCACAATTTGTTCAGCACATTTTTCTGCAGATGATTTCTACATAAAATACAAAAAAGAGATGTACAGCCAAATTCCACATAAAATGAGACTTAAACCAGGAGGTGAGTGATAAATTTTATTGAACCTGCCATTTAATAAATTCTAAAAAATTGTAGCAATACCTGAAAAATATGTTCTGACTGAAAAGTGTCGTGACAGTACACAAGTTGGCATCTTTGAACAAAATGGTTGTTTGGCAAATGAAGATCAACTTGGTATCTTTGAACAGAATGGTTCAATGGAAGATGAAGATAAAGCTAAGTTGCAAAAAAAGGTAGCAGAATTGGAAGAGAACATTTCACAGTTAAATGGCTCGAATAATAATTTGGTCCAAACTATACAAGAGCAAGACTAATACATTACAAAGCTGGAAAAAAAAATTTCTGTGTTGGAAAATGAAATACAGACACTGCAGGTGTTGAATAAGCAAGTAAATGTTGTTGAACTTGCAAAGAAATTTGCTCCTGTTTTAACTGAAAATCAAATTAATTTAATTTTAAAAAAGAAGTTAAGAGTGACCTGGACAAAAGAAGAAATAGCAAGAGCATTTACTTTACGGTATTTCAGCAAGAAAGCATACTGTTTTATGAGAAATGAAGGCTATCCTTTACCAAATTTAAAGACTTTGCAATATTATGCCAGAAAAATTAATCTGAGAAATGGGATATTGCACGATATTTTAAACTTAATGAATGTCATGGGGAAGGACCTTTCAGAAACAGAAAAGGCCACTGTCATAATGTATGATGAAATGAAGGTAAAGGCCTTATATGAATATGATGTAAAGTTCGATGAAATCAAAGGCCCACATAATTATGTACAAGTGGTAATTGCTAGAGGGCTCTATAGTAATTGGAAACAAGTGATTTTTGTCGACTTTGACACCAATATGACTACTACATTAGTGCACAACATCGTAAGATCTCTTCATGAAATAAATTATAATGTGGTTGCCTTTGTTAGTGACTGCGGTGGTGCAAATCAAGGTGTTATACGTGATTTGGGGATAAATATGGATAAAGTCTATTTTGATCATCCCATAACTGGGAAAAAAATTTGTTATTTTCCAGATGCGCCACACATTTTAAAATTAATTAGAAACTGGCTTCTCGATACAGGTAAATTGACTATGTAAATGATATTGCAGCTAATTTTTCAATTGTTTTAGGTTTTGTACTTGAATCTGATGTAACCATTACTAAAGATCCATTAGTAAAACTTATAGAAAAGAATAAAAGTGACGTTAGTTCCCTATTTAAAGTAAGGGAGAAACACATAACAGTTACTGGTACTGCAAGACAAAATGTGCCTTTGGCAGCACAGTTATTGTCTCATACAACTGCTGTTGCCCTAGTCCGATATTGTATTGGAAATAAGGAAGCAAAATATTTATCAGAATTTATAGAACATGTCAATGACTGGTTCGACAGAATTCGAGGAACTTAAATGAAACCATTAAATTTAAAAAACCATACATGAACATGGCTTCTCAAAGAGAACGATTGGATGA